ACACATTGCCAAAACGCCAATGACAAAAGAAAGTAATAAACAATTGACAAACATTCGAGTCAAGCCAAACCAAACCAACCTAAACTGCGCCAAGACAAGCGAATACATACGGAGCCAGGTGATGCCGCTGGCCAAGCAGCCGTCAGATGCGAAGCAGCAACTAACGCCACAACAACTGAGGCTGAGGGTGTAAATCAATAGATGGCAATTAGCCATTCTACACACATGAGAGAAATGTTGAGAAGTTATAAGTCATTGATCCTTTAAGGAAGTAGCAGCGCGTGCCGTTCGCAAATTACAAAACAAAAGCAAAGGCCGGTCAGCAGCACAGCACGGAGAATAGAAACCAGAGCATAAGAGCACACATAATACCTATGACACCTACATTTTTCACCGCCTTCTCCTTAGTCCTTGAATTGCTGTTTGTTTTGTTCATTGGCCAAATGATGCTGATAACAATCGCAGTTATACAGCAAATTTTCAGTTTAGAGTTTGTTTGTACGTTGAGTGGGACACTGATAAAGGATAGCAGCAGCCACAGCAGCGGGTGCAGCTCTTCTTCACTATGGCATGCTGACTCTTTTGGTCAACTCAATTGCTCGATTATTCACATAGATTTCAAAGGAACTATACAAAAGTGTTTCAGAATTATTGCGGTTTCATTCAGCGACTCCTGCAGTCGATCCTGCCAACTTAATTGTTATTTATTTTTCAAATTAATTAAATAAATTATTTCATATAAATATTGTAGGCTTATAATATTGTAGGCAATGAATCAGCTGTTTCACAGCTGAACGATGATGTTTAATACTAAACAAACACTTCATTAAAAATTGTCTCTTCAAAGAATGTTGTATGCATTTTATACTATTAAAATAGCGAAATTATTAATAAAACGGATCGTTATGGTAATTGTGAAACTCACAGAATTCACGTGTACAGCAGTTACGCTAAGAATATCATACTATATATCCCAGTTAATACACAATTAATCTAACAATCTTCCAACAAATCTTATTTTTTGAAGACATTTTATTTTATAATCAACGAGGCTTTCCAACATAATAAAAAAACAATCGCTACTCTAGTTAATATACAATTAATCGAACAATCTTCCAACAAATCTTATTTTTGAAGACATTTTAGTTTATAACCAACGAGGCTTTCCAACATAATAAAAAAACAATCGCTACTCTAGAACCATTAGCTTTTAAATTCAGACCACACAGTATATTCTATATAATTAAAGAATTTCGATAGTGGGTAACGCTTTAACTATATGGTAATGCTCAGGTCATCACATATTGTAATCCTCAAAAGAACTTAGCAAAATAAGGATAGATAAGTAATTGTGGAATGATTATAATATATCGGTAATGACAACTTTTACCAAAATTCTTGACTACTAACACTTGACAATTCGAGAAAACAAGTAAGAAATATTTAAAAACCTCCCTTCATTTTGTCGGCTAAAAACATCAGATCACTGATCACTCCGGTAGTGTGTCCTATGTCATATGATTACTGTCATAAATGTCGTACTTTTGCTTACTATCTCAGCTATATTAAATATCTAATACGCGTTAGAGCTGCTTACCTTGTAGTTCGAGATTGCCCAACTTCTCCCAGTGAATTATTTAGTTTTGTTAGCGTCTTGTACTCATATGGGTACAAAAAAACAGAGAAATCTCAAGAGACTATAAAGAAAGCGAACTTGCCAAATCAGACCCAATATTAACTTTCCGGATTATGTTATTCCTCAAACAACGGCTAAACTAGCAATGCACATTTTTGGGTGAAGGGGTTTATATTGATAAGATTACTTGATTAATGTTAAATTTTTAATTCCTTACACTATTTTTTTTTCTTTATAACTAATGTAACTATGGTTTTTATTATGAATGTTGGTAAATATCAATCGGAAGTTAATTTGTTTTTTATGTTAAAATTTCATTAAAAAAAAATTTTTTTTAAATAAAGCAAAATAAAAGTAAGTACACCTTTTAAAGCCATTATTAAATTAATTATTCTAAATTCGGTTAAGCTTTTGACAAACTCGATATATTTTAATATAATCCCTAATAAGTCCAAATAGTCTTGGTCTACGGAATTGTATATTTTAAAATTACAAAACCCTTTCATAAAAACCTATCCGCTTACATTCTAAAATCTTTATCTGTAACGTTTTTTGGTTTCTTTGGTATTCAAATTTCTTCTAATTGTTCTCCTAATGACACGCGACAATTTCTCCATCAGAAAAAAACTGTAGAAATACTCGTGGAAAAACTACGAAAATGGGCTGTAAAAAGTAAACTCCCCTAAAGGAATATTATTAACTGCAATCGCAAAAGGTGAAAATACAGTAAAACTGAAATGAAAACACATTTCGAAATATGGAATTCCCGCGCAGACGTTATTTCAATAAAATACAAGCGGAAAACGGTGAACGGTGCGCGGTAAACGGTAAGTGGAGTGGTGAGACGAAGTGAGGCGGTTTGGGTTTCTCATTTCGATTCACAAGAAAGTCTTACTAAAGCCTTTCTATACTATTTTAATGATTGCCTCGCTTTAGTACTTTAGTTAACATTTTCAAATTTGTTCCAGAATTTGTCTCAATAAATTTGACTGACTGATTTTAATAATTTAAGTTGTTTGAGGAAATTTCCTTCACGGCTCACTGTTCACCATTCGGTGTGAGACACCACGGTGAGTCCGTCAATGAATGAAAACAGTAAACTGCTTAAAACAAAGCCCAAACTGAGAATTTCATTACCAGAGTCGTTCTTTTCTAATAAAAGAAACACAATTTGAATTTCGAAAGCCTGATTACCACATACGAGATCGGGTATGTAAATCTTAATTATACATAAGGAAGCACATAATATAGGCAAAGGTAAATCGAGTACCTGGTATACAATGAGATGTGCCATTGATTTGAGAGTGGCTTTCGTATGCAATCGTTTGCTATACGGCAAGACGACAACGAAAGTCAGGGGTCACGCATGCGTTGATTTTTCGTTCCTTCTTCGGAGCACTTAAAACAATGCAAAATGCTAAATATATTCAATATCAAAAACAAAAACACCAACTACAAATGTAGTAAATAAAAAACTGGAGTGAGGTAAAAAGAAATTACATATAAACTGGCATTAATGGCATTAATGCTCGAGCTGAGTCTAAGGGGCGCTTATGCAGGCCATCGAACACCGACGAGTTCGCTTCTTTAGTATTGAAAGAAACGCGGTTTACGAGCATAAAAGTGCTGTGCTTATACACAATTTGTGTACTTCATTTCGGTTTGTATTAGATTTGAGTTATTCGATATAATCAATAAAAAAATATTTATTTTTAAATGTTATAAAGGGCTAATATCACAAGCATAGCTTAACTCTCAAAACTGAATTGAGTCATGTTTCACTCAACCAGTTTGTTAACTTGATTCATACTTAGATCAGTTTAGAGACTGGAGTTACGACTGTCAAATTGACGCTAAGAATGCCTTTTACAGTAAAATGCACAATATCAATGTATAAGAACACTGTAAATAAGTTCTTTTATTGCAATAAGTGTTAATTAATCAAAATACATAACATTTTATACTGATTATTTTTTTTATATATATAAATATATATGATATATGTCATTTATCTCTAGTGATATGCAAGAAAATCTTTCTACCAGATACTGCTACAAAAAGTTGAACTCAAAATTTACATTAACAACCCAAAACTATAGAGAATAAACAAGATTAATGGAAAGCTTTAAGTGATTAATAAATGATATATATTTTAATATTTTAAGATATAATGCCCACATCAGAAACGTCGAATATCTAGTATATGAGTATAAATCAAATGCTATCCAAATCCTCTTACGTTTTGTTCTGGAAAAACACTTTATAAAGCGAACATTACTTCAAATTACAAATAAAATCTGGAAAATTAGGGCTATATAGCCATCCGAAGAATTGCCACTTATAAATAGAATATACAGAATGATTGGAGCCGAATACTTTAAATCTTCACGTGCAGTGGTTGTATTAAAGATGAGAGTGTTATGTTTAAAAAAAAAAGATCGAGAATCGACAATAAAGACGAGAGTTAAATCAAAGAAATGGAATGGTTAAGTACTAAGCCGATACTATAGCGTATAATAGTTTGAAAAATAGTCCTGTTTGTACTGATTAAGCCAAATAATCTCAATTCAAATCTGCTTCTTAAACTAAGTTTTCCAATATAATTTTTTTGCATTGTTGTGATGGAAACTAACGGTCATCTTTAGAGATAACAAAATTCTGGTCGACGTATGCAAACACTTCCAAAACTGAAAAAAGGCTGTTGTACTGGATTTATTCTTCAATAGTTTCATATTCTGGGTTTCTAAGCCTTTCAACAAAGCCACATTTTCTCTCTTTTTTATGTAGAACTTTTTTAGTATTAAAACTTAACTAATCCTGTGCTTTTTAATGCCAATCAGTTGACATAATGCTTTTCCTAAATGCATTAAAGCCATAAAAATCTATGCCATTAACTGAAATAAATTATCGAAAGAGGAAGCAAAAGTATAAAATACTTCAAACAATAAATGCACTTAATTGAACCAGAATTGCATTTCTACATCCTCTTTTTCATTGCATAGGCACTTATATTCTGTTTTCTAAAGAAGTTAACAAGTAATAGCAAAATTATAAGAAAAACCTAAAATCAAACGTTTGGAAAGAAGTCAGCAGGAAACAATCGTCTCAAGAGCAAACTTCACACTTTCAAAGTAATTTCAAGTCAACTTAAGTTTTATTTTCCTTTTGCAATTTTTATCATACAAATGCATGCATCTCTCCCTCCCCCCGTGGATGGAAACCACGAACTGTCACATTGATTTGGAATCGAATGAAGTATTCGATTTTTGTTCAGATTTCATTTGTTTTTGTGCAAAAAGGTGTAATTATCCATGTGCCACTACTACTGTTCCAAACAGACTTCGATCGAATAGTCTAAGGGCTCGAGGCACCCTTGAAGATTGCAGTCACATCTCGTACAAAAGGCGCAAATACGACACATGAAGTGTGCAGATTAAACGCTGCGTGTTGCCGGATGAACGATGAACACAAGAAATTTGCTTTCTGTCTCTAATTATATTGAGCACGGGCTCGAAGCCGGTAACTGTTGGAAACCGTACAGCTCAAAATGTACGACTATATGTGGTAAGTATTAAATGAGTAAATTATTTAATATTTTTATTTTATTAAAGAAAAATATAACAATCTTTAGAAACGATTTTAATTAAGATTTCTCAACAAATTTTTTGTTTATTTTAATTAATTCTACTTCGGGTTGATAGTTCTTTAAGTGAAGAAGAAGTGAATTATATTTTATTTAATTTCAAATTCAGATCGATGTTAGTGATTTATTTAAATTATTTTCATGTGGAGTAAAATAATTTGAAAATAAATAAAGTAAAATAATTTTATAGCATTTCTATGCGAACACATCATGCAAACTGGTTTATGTACAGAATAAAATTGGTTGCTGTCACACGCATTGTTCTAAACATGACAATGTTAATGTTATAATGTAAATGCTATAACGTTAATGTTAATGTTATAATGTCAATGTTACAATGTTAATGTTATAAAGTTAATGTTAATATTATAATGTTAATGTTAGTGCACTGAGTTGTGTCAATGCTATGTTATGTTACCACAAATTTTAATCCTTTGTACTCACTCACATGTCTCTACGATTACGAGTTTTTGTCAATTATAAAGCTTTTCAGCTTCATTAGACAAATTTGATTAGACAAGGATTTCTTAAAGTAAAATAAATGTACTTGTATTTTTCTAGTTCGTTTCAAAAAAAAAAATTACAAGTGCTAAAGTTACAATTTATACTAAATACTGGTATTTTGGTATTTGGTGCTAATGATAGCAAATATCAAAACCTTTTGCTATTTAACATGTGCGAACTAAACGCTAGATGGCACGAGAAACAGCTAAGAGAAGGTCAATTAACGCAAAGGGCACTTGGTAAACGTTCCGTTATTTTACCGAACCTTGATCAAGTGTGATTGTTATATATTGTCTAGCAAATCCAAGACTTATTGATTCACAAATGGTCAGTGGTATAGCTAGTACACTACCATAGTATAGGGAGATACCAGAAACTATTTATTTTGGGCGATGCTTTTGTAGTTTACTAAATTTTTGTGGTATTAGTTCTATTGCCAAAAGAAGACAAAAATTTCCACCCCCTGAATACTCCTCCGCAAAGTAAATAATGTCAAAATTTCTAAAATTAAAACCGACGTCCTTTTTTCAAAACTTAATAAAATTATTAAGTAGGTAATATGTACATTCAAATACAATGCTAACTATTTTACTTTATTCATGCAGGTCGTAAAAGACCACAAAATTAGCTGCTGCATAAGAAAATTATATTTATTTGAAAATAGTGTATCAACCAGGGAGTGATAGCTCCCTATCACTTCGAATCTGACCATTCATATCTTCATATCATAAATACAATTATTATTAACATCAACTGCCAATGATAGCTATCAGTCTATACACAAATATGGTATACTCTTTCAGTAAAACTTCATCTATAGTCACTTAGGAAGTAAAAAAAAAACAGCTCATAGCAACAAGAAAAGCTTTTCTTTTGGTTTGGTATGAATCTTTTTTATCTCACATTTGTCAGTGACTTTGTAACGAGAAATCATTGCGCCGTTTCATTCGTCCTAATGCCCTAATCAACGCTACGCTCGTGCTGAATCACCATAACGTTTGAGAAGTTGTGACTCAAGAGTAAATGCAACAACTGAATAGAGTGATGGAACATTCTTTCCAAAAATAGACTGGATTTCAAATTATTGCTACTTAATTTTAATACATAATATATTTAATAAATGTGAAATAATGTCCTAATTGCCAAAATGAATATTTGTTGAGATTACATGAAGCCTTGAAGCAAATTCTTGAATTTACTAGTTCAATGCAAAAAATGAAGTTAGCTTCTCTCATCTGAATCACTACAATGTTATGTCTCTGATTGGATATACATTGGATATGATTTAATGCTGCAATGTTCAATCATTTTAAATATCAAGTACTGAATAGATTTTACGAAATATAAAATATAGTAAAAAATCAAATATTTATTAATTTACTTTATTATATTGTTTAATAAATTTAAGTATCTTAGAGTATCTAAAAACCCGAGGACACATACAGTATATAAATAAATTTAGATTTAAAAAAATTCTCAGCATTACAGATTTTGGAATTGGTGACCGCAAATTATTATTAACCATATGCTTTTAGTAAAATAAGGGTATGTAGTAAATGATCTATATGTACATATTTAACATCAAGCTCTACCTCAGAATAGCATAGATCTTACATAACATATATAATGAAAAAAATACTGAAACCAATTGAAACAACCTGTGGTTAGCACAACATATCATATGAGTCGGGGTGTATACTATTCTCCAATTCATCAATAATAACAATAAGTGTTCAATTAAAAAAAAACAATAGTGTAACAAAATATTTATATAAAACCAGCTAAACACAGGAGCTTATTTAAAATTTGAATTTATATTTACAACATGATTACAACTTAACAATACTCATCAAATATTATGAATTTCATATGGTTACTAACATTTAAAATCACAATTTTTATTTATTCTATTTCATAAATATGTAAGTGAAATTATAATTATATACCATATTTCAATATTATAAAAAAATGAAATAAATATAAACATTTTAAGTAGTAAATTACTTCAATCGCTTCAAAAATTTAAGAATTTTTGATGATTTTGATGAACATGATTTTCTGCTGGGATTGCATATCAAAATATTTTCGTGACCAGAAATTATAATTATATACCATATTTCAATATTATAAAAAAATGAAATAATTATAAACATTTTAAGTAGTAAATCACTTCAATCGTTTCAAAAATTTAAGAATTGATCACATGATTTTCTGCTGGGATTGCATATAAAAATATTTTCGTGACAAGATAAATATAAAGATAATTAAAAAGATAATTATCTTGCACATTGCACATATACTTATGCTTTTGCTGGTGTATACGTTTTAACAAGGAAAACTTATTTTCAGATGTTTGTCAAGAATTGTGAGTAAAATTCACAGCTGGAGGTTTTAGTCCAATTATTTGGATCAGATGAAGGAAGATCAGCTGTGCCTTTCAGGAAACATTATTGCTTCGAGAATGAAATAGTAAATGGAAAGAAAGTTCTCAAACTAAGATAATATATAAAGCGCACAGTGAAGCAAGTGCATAAAATTAGAAGTTAAAATAATACTTTCGAGATCATATAAAATACAGATGCATCTGTATGATAGAGCACTTATCTAGATAATGAATAGAACATAATAATTATGTGATTACATAGATATCTGTGATGACTTAGAATAAAATACGTTTGTATAGATAGTAATATTAGAACTATATACGCAACTATGAATGAACTTTTGTGGATAATACTACGTTGAAAAAAATCCACAAAAGCTAGATTAATTTTATAATGCATTATTTTAGTATTGCATTAAAGGTACAAAATATAGTTTAAAATAATAAAATTCATGTAATTATAGTTGAAATTAATGAAAATATATATCTTCCAGTTTAATTTATAAGGAAGGCAGGCAAAATATGTATGTACATATCAGACAACAGTGAACGTATCACGTGAAACTAAAATTGTCACTTGATTGTAATTGTTGAGAACTGTATGCAACTCCTAAAAGAGGATCTTATAGAATCGTCAGCTCATTATGATGAGTAAAATATGAGAGTACAACAAACACATGAAGAAACCATAGAGCAATTCTTAATTTCATTTTTGACTACATTAGAAGTTACCTATGTATAGTAAAATATTTAAGAAATTATTTAATAAAAATATTTACAAATATACACTTACTCTCTTCGTCACTCAATCTTAGGTTAAATGATTTCAAGCCGGGCGGAGTATTCTCTTCATCCGAATCATCATCTATTGGGGTCACACCGAAGCTACCAATCAAGTTCATGTTGTTGGCAGAACTAGGCGTACGCAAGTTGGCATCTGATAAATGCTTGGTTAACTCCGTTATGGGTGACAACACATTCATTGCGAACTTATTCAACTTCTTATTGGATTTGAATATAGCTGCAACCTTGACCGAGGGCTCGTGGTTGGCAGGACTATGGAACTCAAGCAACTTGAAGCGCTTAGCAGATGCTGAAATGGTTTTCTCTGACGACTCATTAAGCTCGTCAATGTCTTCGTATTGCTCTGATGCACCACGCTTTTGCGTACTCACGGCGGAGGAGGAGGGTGAACTACCATCGACAACTGTTGACGACTCCATTGCGCACAGTTCCAACACACTTGTTACTCTTTCCAGTTGTTGAGAAACAAAACGTAAAAATACGCTCGCAAGTCACACTTTTACCGTTTTTTTTTTGCTAAACACACCGCACAACTCCTTTGCTTTTCTAAATTTTTTTTAGAAGATCAAATATAGTTTTTTATATTTGACGTATTTCTATACGATAACTAGAAAGCAAAAAAGTTTATAATTTGATTGTTTGATTCAATCAGAATTCACTTGAGTTATTTTGAGCGGCCGCGTGAGAACCAACGGCGAAGCCAACGTGTGTAGCAAAGGAAAATGAATGTTACGCTCTCTCGTCTCCTACTTTTCACGACTTTTTACGCTAAAAACGTTACTAAAAAGAAAGGAAAAAACCAACAAATTTGTATGTGGCAAAAAATAAGAAACCAATTGGAATTACACGCACTTTTTTCGAACGAAATGAAAATTTTTTTTGAACTTTCGCTAAATCTCTATTATTAACGTATTTCAAAATTCGGTAATTCAAAACTTATTTTGAATAATTTAGAAAAAAATTTTTCTAAATATTTCCGTTTTGAAAAATTTCGCAGAGTTATTTTCGCGTTTTCCCACCGACCTGTTGCGCGCCGAAAGACAATGCACTTTCACTTCTTTTTTTTAAATAAATTAACGCAACTGACGTAGAAGGTTTTTAAAATTTTATATATTTGTTAAAAAAACAGACAGAACACTTTAAACTCAGTTTAACAATGCAATCAAGCTGTTGAGGATTTGTCGTTGGAAAAACGCAGTTTTCGCGTCGAAATTTACATTAAGAAAGTGGAAATGCGCCAAAACGCATTTTCCCCACAACCCGATTTGCCCGACATTCGCGCTAAAAAAGCACGCAAACAACAACAATACCACAACAAATTGGTTGCCTTGAAATCTCTTTTTATGCAAATTTCTTAGTTCTAATCCTCTTAATTAATTATTAATCTTTTATTGTTTTATGAATTCATACTTTTTACCCACGATTCAACGCAACTGAAATTTTACACTCTCAGTAATTATGCGCTTTTTAAATTACAAATAACACACTTAATTGAAAATTTATTTTTATAATTTAAAAACAAAAAAAGTCCTAGAAACTTTAAACTTTTATATGCTTTTATGTTTTTTGCAAATTATTTCGTATTAATTATGTTCTATAACTCTCAAAACGCACAAATTTCTAACAAATTTCACTTAATAAACAGCTGAAAATTATCTGCACTACGCAAAGTCCGTTATGCAAATAGGTGTCGTCACTGTAGCTTCTTCTTCTTGTTAAAACAGATAATACTTTTTTTTTGCATTAAGTTTGATTTGAGTATGATTGCAGGGTTGTATTTGTGTGATGCAAATAATGTATGAATTGTATGTTAATTGAACATATCAAAGGGTTAGTAATTTTAACACATTTCGGACCACTAGCTTAGAATCTTTTTTAATACTCAAAGAATATTTTATTTTTTTTAGGTGAATATGTGAGAAGTGAAAGTAATCTTTTAAATAAATATTAAACTCTTCGCATTTACTTAAACTTGTTTTATTTTACTATTTACTATGGAAATTTCACCGCCTGAATTGCCTGGTACTTTATGGTTTAAAAAACACTCTTGTACCAAAACTAAATTACACAGTTTGAATAAATTGTTCTTATTTAAAGGAAATTGGATATAAATATATATACATATATAAATTTTTGCTATTATTTTATAGAAATAAAATAGCTTTGTAACGACATTTCCGAAGTCGTTATCAAAATATGCTGAGTTAAGTTAGCATACAAACTGTGTCATAACGATAAATTATTACTATTATGGCCGTGTGCGAGTTCGAGTAAATTGATGGTAAAATGAGGATATAGTAAATAATGTTAGCGAATGTTGATATTTAAAAGAATATCGAGTAGGGTAAATTAGTTAAAAATTAGGTAAATTAAGTATTACCATTGTAAAAATTTTATTAGATGTTCAACAAATAAATAAATAAATATTAAAACTTTAACCAAAAATAATAAATAAGTGCAACAAATAAATAAATAAATATTTATATAAGTGCAGTGCAGTAAATCACTAGGAAATTTCAAATTATTTTACCTCCATTTATTCAAACTCGCACACGGCCTATATTGTTTCAAAGAAAAGAATATGAAATCATTATTTTTTATTTATTAAAAAGTAAATAAAATAAATGAATATAAGCTATATCAGGATTGTCCTAACCAGATGCGATCGTGGGCCATAATAATCACTGTATTGGAGGGCCCAGAAATAAATACATACGTTCATAGTTATTTTTGACTAAAATAAAAATACGGCTGTAATGTTAAATTTAATTTTATTATTTTTATCAATTTAAATTCATTTATTTGGTATACCATAAAACTAAAATAATGTAGTATTACCAGTACACCAAAAGAAAATTTGTGTAATTGTAGTAGATTAAAATAATGTCGCGGGCTGCACAAACATTAACCGCGGGCTACATAATAACTAAGAAAATTATTATATCAAAAATATTATATTACAATTATATTTATATTATTGTATTATACATATGTACAATGATCTAAGAATACCAGTAATAAGAATTTGTCTTCCACCAGTTGCGTAGCCAGGATTCTGGCAAGAAGAGGGCGAGGTACTAAAAAATTTTTCTTTTTGACAGTAATTTTTAAGTTCACTAAATTAATTGTAATACTATAAGTGTTCGAGAGGATTATGTCAAGGGTAGGTTACACTACAAAATATTTTAGTAAAAATGTTTTTGCATTTCACTAAATCAATATAATTAGAATTAGAAGTAGTTTAATTTATATACACATCTATATGTATACGTATAAAGTAAAATTCTTATAGATATTGTTTTTAAAATGTTTATATAAATATAATCTTTGTTTAAAAACTAAAACTAATACTTTTATTTTTTTTATATCTGATATATTTCTCTGGGGTTTTGCAATGTTTTATTATCAAAATTTCTATTTACTATTAGTAGTGAAATGTGAAAACAAATATATAACGGAATTGTCTAGTTATAATAATCTGTAGATTAAATCCACTAGGAGAATATAACCTTCAATCCGCCTATACCCAACCTTCTCTGAATACCATTCTAGTTTCCACTGGACAAAATTACATGGTAAAGAAAACGTACCGCCATTTTCACAATTCGATTTTTATTAGAATCATTAACAAATTAACTTTTACTAGCTTTTACTAGTATTAAACCATGGACATTTTTATTAAGAGTGAACATAGCTATAGTGTTTAGTAACAATACGTTTTAACGTGTTTTACGGAGCAAAGGAAGTGCAACCTTGTTCAGAGATATGATAAAAAAGTTCTAAAACACAGTGTGTCAATATTTATTGAAATAGAGGATGTCATGTGATTTTAAATTTGTAAAAACAATTACAATTTACAATTACAAAACTTATGACTGGGGGAGTCCCTAATATGGTATATATTAAACACACATGAATTCTGCAGTTTTTAATATATTGCATTGAAAAGAAACGAAATTATTTTATTTATATTAGACCAGTTTGTGTATCTAATACTTTATAATACCAAATGTGAAAAGAAAAGATTACATTGAATTATTTTATACTCCGTTTTCGTATTCAGTTTTTTTGTGGAGTAATGTATTGTCATTTATTTATAATTAGATCAATTCAATATATAATCAAATATATTTTTTGGGCAAAACTTTTTCTTCCTAATTAAGTAAGTAATTAAATGTTTTTGTAAAGTTTATACTTAGCCCAGGTCTAACAGCGTTGGTGTTTATATCCCTATAGGGCTTCTAATGTATTAATGGCGCTATGAGTGATTTAATTCAGGAACCGCTTATTAGATCTCAAATGTCATAATTTAAAACTGACTCTTTAAGAAAGAATAATAAGCACGGGCAATCAATTTAATATATATCAAAAAAGGATCAATTTACTGCTCGTGTCTATTTGGTTACGGGAAATAATAAAGAGCATATAATAATAAAAAGAAGAATCTTTCTCTCAACTATTAAAACGGATTAAATATTAATACCCCTAAAAAAATTTTGATTTAGATAGAAAATTGGCAAGGGAACATACTTTTAAAATGAAATTCACGGATAAAAATACCTGCAGAAGAAACAGGATCATAGGTCATAATTTCTCCAAAATTTCTTCGCATTCACGTATTATATATGTTATAAACGTATAAAAAACTTATATATAAGAATATTAAAACGATATCTGGGAATATTAAATTTCAGTTACTAAGTTACTTACTACTTAGGTATACCAGTCTTTAGTCAAAATTTACATTGGTTAATATATGAAATAATATCTTTAGAATATAAAACTCTTGAAGACATAAGTCTAAAATTAAATTGGAGTAAATGATTGAATTTTGAATAGAAATATACAATATTTAACATCAATACTGAATGTAATTCTCAATACAAAATAAATAGTAGATAAAATTTAGCAAAAATAATTAATACATTATATATATTTATCGCATTATATATTACATATATTTATATGTATTATATTAATTATCTTTCCCAACCTATTCACTCATTATTTGTTGCATACTTATGGGAGTGAAAGTTCATTTTTAAATTTTTTATACGTTCTAAATATATATATTAGAAGGACATTTGCATGTAATTTTAATTTTGAAATTAAATTAAATTTCATTCATTAAATTAAATTACGTTCTATAACATTCATTATTATCGTCCCATTTCACAACTCCGTTTAGTTCGTTTGCAATAATTCAACTTGTATTTCGTATCTAAAACGCTAAGGAAACTTAAGACAGAAATAAACGGCCTTTCAGTAATCTAGAACTTCTCGTTAAAAGATATTTTGACCAAAGGCAGTTGTTAGGAACTGATTAGCAATATGAAAAATATATTAACATCACAATATTCAGCTCCACTGGAATTCTGTATTCCTATTTTGAGAACATGTTATATCATTCTACACTTTTTTCGTGTTCGTTTTTTAAAGGTTTTTAGTTTCTTCCCAATATAAAAATTGTTTTTAAAAAAATTTTTTTGTATTTTGCATCACAGTAAACTGATGCAATTTAAACTGAGTTATTTGAATTTTTCTTAAACTGCAAATATCTGGATTTTGCCATAAGTGTACGACAATTAAACTATAAGAATCCAATATGATGATCAGCAAAAGAAAATATTACAATAGACTTATTATAGATAGTACATATCTATACTTTCCAGATAGCACAGTTCAAAGAAATCATTATACATTTCGATACAATATAATACATTGACATTAGTAAGTCCCATATGCCATTTCCTTCTGAAAACTAAACCATTTGCTTCCATCCGATACTTCCGACTTTAGTGGATATAAATTTCAATCATGAAGGACATACATATTTATATGTGATAAATTTCAAAAATATGTGCCTGCACGTATGTTTATGCGCCATCCCACATCCCACATCCCACATCCCACTTCGACTACTATTCACCATATGCAATCGAGCAGAGTGTGAAACGAGCACAGATATGTGAACTCGTAGCTGTGCTTCTGCACTGATTTATTTACATGCACTTTGCATTAAAGCTCCTGGCCACCACGACACACTTGATAACGAAATTGCTGGCGTCAATTGTGGTTACACGATTACAATTAATATTAATTGCATATTAAGGACTTTTATCAATCTCGTAAATACGCATTTGCGTTCAACTGTCTGCTGTCTGCTGTGG